ACTACTACTACTACTACTGCTACTACTACTACTACTACTACTACTACTACTACTACAACTACTAACTACTAACTACTAACTACTAACTACTACTACTACTACTACTGCTACTACTACTACTACTACTACTACTACTACTACTACTACTACTACTACTACTACTACTACTACTACTACTACTACAACTACAACTACTACTCCTACTACTACTACTACTACTACTACTACTACTACTACTACTACTACTACTACTACTACTACTACTACTACTACTACTACTACTAAACTACTACTACTAAACTACTACTACTACTACTACTACTAATAATAATAATAATAATAAACTACTACTACTACTACTACTACTACTACTACTACTACTACTACTACTACTACTACTACTACTACTACTACTACTACTACTAAACTACTACTACTAACTACTACTACTACTACTACTACTACTACTATTACTACTACTACTACTACACTAGACTAGTTCTACTACTACTACTACTACTACTACTACTACTACTACTACAACTACTACTACTACTACTACTAACTAATAATAATAATAATAATAATAATAACAATATTAATAATAAAATAAATAAAATTAATAATAATAACAATAATGATAATAATAATAATAATAGTAAGTAGTACTGCAAGTACTTGTCTGCAAGTACTTGTCATAGCACTACTTTTTCTGTTACTACTACTACTACCACTACCACTACCAACACCACTACCACTGGTACTACTACTCCTGCCTCTTGGGGCCTCCTGGGCCCCCTTGGGGTGTCCTGTCAGACCGTCGGGCTTCCTCCGGCCACCTCTGGCTTCCTGCGGTGTACCGGGCCATTCTCGACTCGTCTGGCAATGCGTGCGCGGCATTCAACACGCGCTCGCCAGTTCCCGTCGGCAACCGCCATCGCGGCCGCATCAGCTGTACCAAACCGGCTGGCCGGTGTGACTTCGGCCCCCAGTTGTGCCAGCTTTGTTTCTTATGTTGTGGGAGGGCGGGCGGGACTGGCCATGCCATGCTTGACTCGCTCGAGCTGGCTAGCTTGACTCCTACTCCTACTCCTACTCCTACTCCTACTCCTACTCCTACTCCTGCTCCTGCTCCTACTCCTACTCCTACTCCTGCTCCTACTCCTACTCCTCCCAACCCCACTCCTACTCCTACTCCTCCTCCTATTCCTCCTACTACTCCCCCATCGTCCTCCTCCCTCCCTCCTCCTCCTCCTCCTCCTCCTCCTCCTCCTTTTTCCCCTCCTCCTCCTCCGCCTCCCTTTATTCCTCTTCCTTTTCTTCCTCCTCCTCATCCTCCTCCAGTTCCTCGACTTCCCATGAAGCGTGGACGGCTCGGCTAAGCACACCCGGCCACACAAAGTAGGATCCGCCCCGCAGCCGAGGGCCCTACCCTCACGCCACGGGGCACAGGAAAGTTTTAGCGCCCCCCCAAAGAGCTCCTCAGTCCTCGGTGGCGGCCGACAAAGACCCAGCTTCGGCCCCCGCAGGCCTCGGACCAGGGGCTGAAACACACGAGAGCGGAAACGGCAGACCCCAGAAAACACCAGACGAGGGTTCCCGACCAGACAGCAGGCGCTCCAGGGTCGCCCTCCCAAAACGGACCGAGGCCCTGGGCCGAAACGCCCAGGGGCGACACTGCCGGGCCAGGAGGTGGGTCTGCCGACGGGCATGAGCCCCGACGGGCGTAAGCCCCGCACAGCTCCCAAGGACCCGACCGCCTCCCCCCCCCGCCCCCGCCGCGCCCCACGCCCACCCCGAATCACCCACAGCCTATGGGACGGATGATCGATCGCCGCGGGCCTGGGCTCGCCAGGGCAAGGGGTGGCGCACGATCCTCGATCGGAGTCCGTTCCTGGCCCAACGCCTGCTGCAGCCCCAGGACCTCCCAAAACACGCAAAGGCGTGCCCATTGGGACCCGAGACCAAGGACAGCACCTGGGGCGGGCAAGGCGGGGGGAGGGCCGGCCAATCGGGCCACCCCTTCGCATGCGGCCTTTTTTCAGCACCGCGCCACAATGGCGGAGAATATTCGTCGCAGCGACAGTCGCCGCGCTCACGAGCCTGGCGAGCTCGCCGACCTCCTCGAAGTCGGCGCGCAGCTGGGCACCCATCCTGGCCCTCTTGTCGGCCTCGTGGTGGCCGATGTGCCAGTGGGCCTTCGTGCCCACGCGCTCTGCCGCGACCCAGCTGGTGTGGGCTCTCGCCCAGCAGAGCTCGAAGCGCTCGCCCATGTCGTGGGCCACCAGATCTCATTCCAGAGCTGCGCGTACTTGCATTCGGGGATCCTGCACCAGCCTGGCCCCTTCCGAGAATCACCAAACGCATTCTCACAATCCGTGACCACGCGTAGCTCGCCCTGGGCCGCCTCACGCAGCACGCGGGACAGGGCGTAGAGCACAGCGAAGCTGATCTCCTGCGCGGCACCTGGTACCGTGCCCATCAAGCCGCCGACGATGCTGCCGCCCTCCGCGATCGCGATGCCAGCCCAGCCAGCCCTCGAGAGCTCGACGAGCTGCGGCAAAAAAGGCCGGCCCGTCGATGCAGACCGTGCCCGAGAAGCCCTCGCGCCGCAGGACGCCCGCTCGAAGACACAGCTCGTCCTCTGCGGGGACGGGCGCCGCCCCAGGCCCGAGCGAGACGAGGCACCTCACGGAGTCCATGTCCGCGATGTCAGCTGCAGCTCCAGCCCCACGCACGCCCTCCAGGCCCATGTCCCTCGCCACCAGCGCCGCGCCGTCGCAAGCGAGGAGCCTGTGGTGGTGCGAGCCCAGGCCAGCGCCACGCCATTGGCAATCGGCCGGGTCGGCGGCTCGCTCCGCACACAGGTCGGTCTGAGAGACCAGCCCGCCGCACACCAAACTCTCGACCAGCGCCACGTGCTCCGCGTCGCTCTGCGCCCTCAGCACCTCTAGCGCCGCCCGCGCAGGGCACATCGTGGGTGGTCCTGCCAGCTGCCCGTGGAAGTGCGCAGGCACAGAGCGAAGAAGAGACCTCTACACTCCCCGCTCGACCAGCGTTCGGACCATCTTCGGGCTATGAGACTTCAGGTCGATCGATTCTCCTCTGTCAGTGACCCACACGTCCCACGACTCCGCGAACCACCCGACGCGGCCTAGGCTGAGGCGCACCGCACCCGCAGGCCCCGTGACCTGGCCCCAGTGGGCTGGCCGCGCCGCCTCGAAGACCTTGTGCAAATCGGTCGTAGGCCTGAGACGGGCGAAGACCGCCTTGGCCCACGCCACCAGCGGCAAGCAGTTCGCCGAGTAGGCGGGGTCTGGGCGCCATCTTTGTCCAGGCAGGATAGCGAACTGCAGCGTCCTGCCCCTCTTGCCACCGCCGCCAGCCACCGCCTTGCCATTGATGGTCCTGGCCTCGCCGAGCACCTTGGACGGAACTCCCTTGACTCGGGCGCCGTGGAGGATGGTGGCGAGGCCGCTGCACCTGAACACGGCCCTGAGTTTGGCCCCCGCTCGCCTCAGCTGCATGTAGCGAGGCGCCTCCAGGGTAAGACGCCCCAGCCTTCCTCGAAGACACCCCACGAGGCTTTGCCGCTGAGCGTGAAGTCGATCCCCAGGTTCTTAGCCTCGCGGCGCAACCTGAAGTCCCATTTCCTGAGGCGGTGGGCCGTCCTTTTGCCAGCCTCGACGTCGCTGGACACGATGCCCCCCTTGGTGACCGAGATGATGAAGCCGTCCTCCTCCAGCCTCTGGCAGAGCCACCTGGTCGCGCCACAAATGCCGAACTCCTTGTCCCTCAGCCGGCCGTAGGCAGCCAGGGTGACGTCATCCACGACGAGGTAGGCGCGGACGTTCAGCCAGCTCTGCATGAGGTCCATGGCCGAGAGGAGCATGACCTTCAGCAAGGTCGTGGCGAACGCGCAGCCCGCGAAGATCGGAGCCCCTACCGAGAAGGACTCGGTCACCCACTTACCCAGACAGAGCCTGCGCCGTCCGCCATACGAGCTGAGGATGAGCTTCAGGCGCCGCATCCCCCTCCTCCTCCTCCTCCTCCTCCTCCGCCTCCTCCTCCTCCCCTCCTCCTCCTCCTCCTCCTCCTCCTCCTCCTCCTCCTCCTCCCTCCTCCTCTCTCCTCCTCCTCCTCCTCCTCCTCCTCCTCCCTCGTTCTCCAACTCCTCCTCTTCCACCACTTCCTCCACCACCTCCTCCTTCTACCTCTCCCTATAATGCCCCCCTTCCTGCTTATGCGGATCTTCCCCGCCATCCTCCCCCTATTGTTCCCCGAAGGGTTTCCACAAGGGCTGGAGGAGCACACGGCCCGATAGCTTGGCAGAAATATTGCCACAACGCTCGGCCACAAGGGTGATTCCAAAAGGCAGGGCGCGGCGGTGATTCGCCGTAGGCGTCTTCGAGAAGAAACTGGCCAAACAGAATCGCGAAACACATGCTTTTCGCATTGAGAATTGAAGAAGCAGGGTTTAGGTGGATAGGTGGACCTTCGTGGATGAGGCAATGCGAAATGAGACCAGCCGAAAGGTTGAAGCCGAATGGCGAAGAAATTAAAACGTTGGGGCACACACACACGCACACACACACACATAAACAAACAAACAAACAAACAAACAAACACACTCACACAAAACACAAAAAAAACATCCAGCCTCTTCCCTCCCCCTCCCATCCTGCGCCTCCTTCACCATCAACCCCCCCGCGTCTACTTGCGCTCCTACACGACGACGAAGTGCGATGACGACGACGGCGCGAGACGACGACAACCATTGCCATCTGTTAACCGGCCTCTATCCCTACTGGTGTGGCCTGGGCCCCACTGGCCCGAGGTGGGGATATCGGCTGCTCCCTCCGAACCTCGAGGGGTCTATCGCCAACTGGGATACTGGGATGGTATGGTTGAGATACCATGGCCTGGTGGAAGGGAAGGATGATGGGATGGCGGGGTGAATTCAATGATACGGGAAGCAGCCAAGGGACACCGCCGTGGTCCTCAACGTCGTGGCCGAAGGTCACCGCCGCCGCAGACGAGGGCAGCTGCACATAGGCAGGGTAGTCCATCGGCCCCTGCCCAGCCCTAGCCCCTGTCGTCTATTCCGCCCTCCTGCCTCCTCCTCGTCCTCCACCTTTTGTGAACAGGCAGGCTGAAAGGCGAACGCACCTGAAGCGTCGGCCTCCTCCTCCTCCTCCTCCTCCTCCTTCTCCCCTCCTCCTCCTCCTCCTCCTCCTCCTCCCCCTCCCCCTCCTCCTCCTCCTCCTCCTCCTCCTCCTCCTCCCCCCGTAGCCATCTGGCTCAAGGCTAAACGTTGTGAAGGGCTATAGACGCCCGAGAATCAGCGATTAGCTTTGGCTGCGTCTTCCGTAGCCAAGGCTCAGACCGTTTTGGCAACGTTTCGTCCTCGGCAGCGCGTGGACCGCCCGCCCAATCTGAGGGCCCAGCTCAGGACAAACCAGGCCGAGGTCGTTGGCGTGGACGGCGCGGTGCGCCCCGGGGCTGGCTCTGCTTACGTCGGCCAGGAGGAGGAGGGAGGAGGAGGGAGGAGGGAGGAGGGAGGAGGGAGGAGGAGGAGGAGGAGGAGGAGGAGGAGGAGGAGGAGGAGGAGGAGGAGGAGGAGGGAGGAGGAGGAGGAGGAGGAGGGAGGAGGAGGAGGAGGAGGAGGAGGAGAGGAGAGGGAGGAGGAGGAGGGAGGAGGAGGAGGAGGGAGGAGAGGAGGAGGAGGAGGAGGAGGAGGAGGAGGAGGAGGAGGAGGAGTGGAGGTCTGCGGGCGGCGGCCGCGACGTTCGAGGGAACCCGTCGCAGATCACAGCGAAGCGGAGATCCCCCGCGGAGGTGGCCGGGCCACCACCACAGCTGCCAAGCAGGTGGTCGACAGCGGGAGCAATCGTCGAGCTGGCCCAGGCACGGGTGACGTTCTGGAGGTAATGGAAGGGCGACAGCAGCACGGAGTACTCCAGAGTTCGTAATAAAGGGAGGGGGGTCTCATTTCGGGGGGGGGTCTCTTCCAAGCTATCTTGGAGGGCCTGGGGGGGGGTCTGGGGACGATGTTTTGGAGGGTTCTCCCACGGGGGCGTCTGAGATGGCTTGTCTTGGAGGGTCCAGACCCCCTCCCTTTTATTACGAAATCTGGAGTACAAGGACGCGGTGGAATGTCTCAAGCATGCGAAGCAGTGTGCGTTGCAGGAGAAGTCGCCAGAGCAACAAGTCCAGGGCCTCACGGACCAGCTCGGCCAGGCTATGCGCACGCTTGGCCACAGCAAGAACACTGTCAACCAGCTCTCCCAGCAGCTGGTCGCCTACCAGAAAGCCAGCCAGGATGCGCAGCGCCTGCAGACGCAGCTGCAGGTGGTCCAGCAGGCGGCCGCACAGAGGGCGGCGCAGGCGGCGCCCATGTCAGACGCAATGCGCTCCCTCATCGCAGAACGAATCGACAAGCCCGCCGAACATATTCCGAAGGAGCTCGACCACCACCTCCTGGCCATGGCGAAGATACTCGAGCCCATCGAGAACAAGCAGAAGGAGAAGGAGCAGCACGTCGCCGCCGAGAAGCACGAGGACGAGGACGAGGACGAGGAGGACCCTTTCCCGCAGGTGGGCCAGGCCCCAGGGGAGGGCCACGAGGCCGTCAAGATCGAGAGCCAACTCGACCCTGCGGACCGCCCCGATCCAGAGTGCGACGACGAGCAGATGGAGGCCGCCAGGAAAGGAGCGACCGAACACCTCATCAACTGTCAGGCGAACCTGGCAAAGGCGGAGCTCCATGGCGAAGAGACCAGCAAGAAGCTCAAGCTCTCGGCGCAGAATGCTACAGTCCAGCGTGCCGCGGACAGTCCTACACCACCAGCGCGTGGGTAACACCATCCGCATCACCACAGTCGATGGTAATTGCTGGCCGCGGGTGAAGTCGCACACGCTTTCTGAGCTCGCCAGAGATGATCACGTGATATGTGCATAGAAGACCAGACTGCGCACGCAGCAGGCCGTTGCCCAAGCCAGTCAGTGGCGCGAGCGGCATGGATGGAAAGCCTTATTCGAGATGGGCGCTTTCAGCTCTACAGGGGCCCCTTCGGCTGGAGTTTGGCGTCGGGATTCAAGACATGAGAATCCCCAGGGGGGCCCAGGATATTCTTCCACAGGGACAGCTGGTTGGTGCCAGAGTAGAGCTGCCAGGGCTCGGTGTCATAGGAATCCCACCAGCCCTCTGGGCGTCGGTGGTTTAGGGCGTTTCCTCTTCCACCCCTCCTTCTTCCCCTTCGGGGAGGGGTTTACCCCTCCCCCTTACCCCCTCCCCATGGACCTGGAGGGGGGGGGCGCGAGGTGTCAGAGCGTCCAAAACGGCCTCGGCGAGGAAGCCAAAATCATTGATTGTACTAAGGTTTTGGCCCCATTTTGGCATCTTGAGGGGGCAAGGCTAAACTCATGCACCGCAGTTCTTTGATAGATCTCATCCAAGGTGGCCCCAAGAAGCGCCCGCGGGAGGCCCCAAGTGGTCCCAAGATAGCCCCAAGATGGCGCCAAGAGGCCCCCAAGAGGCCCCCAAGAGACCCCCAAGAGGCCCCAAGAGACCCCCCAGAAGCACCCAAAATGCTCCAAGAGGCCTCGGCGAGAATGCCAAAACGGCCTCGGCGAGGAAGCCAAAATCATTGGTTCTACTAAGGTGTTGGCCCCATTTTGGCATCCTGGGGGGGGGGCGCTAATTCATGCTCCCCTCTTGTTTGATCGATCTCCTTCAAGATGGCCCCAAGAAGCGCCAAGGAGGTCCCAAGAGGTCCCAGGATGGCCCCAAGATGGCCCCAAGAGGCCTCCAAGAGGCCCCCAGGAGGCCCCCAAGAGACCCCCAAGAGGCCCCAAGAGACCCCCCAGAGGCACCCAAGATGCTCCAAGAGGCCTCGGCGAGAATGCCAAAACGGCCTCGGCGAGGAAGCCAAAATCATTGGCTGTACTAAGGTTTTGGCCCCATTTTGGCCTCCCGGGGGGCGACGCTAATTAATACTCCCCTCTTGTTTGATCGATCTCCACCAAGATGGCCCCAAGAAGCGCCCAGGAGGCCCCGAAAGGTCCCAAGATGGCCCCAAGATGGCCCCCAAGATGGCCCCAAGAGGCCCCCAAGAGGCCCCCAGGAGGCCCCCAAGAGACCCCCAAGAGGCCCCAAGAGACCCCCCAGGAGCACTCAAGACGCTCCAAGAGGCCTCGGCGAGAATGCCAAATCATTGATTTCACGAAGGCTTTAGCCACATGTTGGCCTCTTGGGGGGGAGCACTGATTAAGATGACTCCAAGAGCGCCTGGGAGAGCCCAAGATGACCTCCAAGATGGCTCCAGATATCCCAAGATGCCTCATAATGGTTTCCTCTGTGTGCTGCCCAATTCCCTGATCCAGGCAATTCCTCTGGGCATCGTTTCTGGATGGGCTGGTAGGGGTTCGCGAAGCGTCAACAATTCTATCCGTGCACATGCAGGTTAGCACCGGCTTGAATGAGACTAACTTGAACGTGCTGGCGACCATCGCAAACTTGCAGAATGAGTATCACATACCCATATTTGTAGCAGGTGGTGACTACACGTGAGCCCGATCAAGCTCAGCAAGCATGATTTCATGCTACGCACAGGCATGCAAATCACCCATACCTCCTCCCCCACCTGTCGAACAAAGACCTCCAAGAGTTGTTTGGGTTTCTTTGTGTATAGTGGGTGCCTAGAACATGTACTACATGCTCCTAAAGTACATACAGCATCCCCACTGTCTCCGCATCGGCCAGTCAGTATTTGTCTCGAGGTTGGCGAGGATTTCACAGCGCCTGTGCTATGCAAGCCCCAGCGTCTGCCTACCAAGCATGTCTTGGGGCCCATGTTGCCCGACCGCGAGTGGATTGCCACCGCAGCCGCGCTCGAAGCTGCAGAGGGAATCCTGGCCATCGCCATCCAAGAGCCACACCAGGGAGAAAAGCTAGCTGCTCTTGACCAAGCGTATCGCTTCCTGGCCAGGGACCTCGAGGTAACGATTGCCGAACTCACAGACACGACCTTGAAAACCAATTCTCGGCCCAGGGCCTGTCCTCCGAGGGTCAAACTGATCAAGGCCAAACCCTTCTTGAAAGAGCACAGAGTCGCCTGGAAGTCTCACGCTGGACCCTGCGCTGGCTCAGGAATGTCGCGCAGCAGTTCCACTTCAAGATAGGCAGGCTAGATGCTAGCGCCTTCGTCGAGGTCATTGGGTACCTTGAGGGTCCACCCACAAAGTTTTGCGAGTCAGAGTCGCCAGTGCCTGAATTTCATTGTTTTGGATACGAATGCCAAGGTCCTGAACCCCGCCCTAGGAAAACGAACCCTGGATGACGTTTTGAGCAGTCTTTCGACGTTGCTGGACTAGAAGATTGACCTGGAACAAAAAAAAGCTCAGCAAAAGCTTGGCACGAGTGGGTACACATGGGCACGCAAGGAAACGCTGGTTGGGCCCACACGTGGACGAAGAACCTGGACGCTTGGAACCCCAACGAGGCCCCCTGGAGAGGTGTCTGGACGGGGAGGCCATCGAAAGTACTGGACTACGAAGCCGAGCGCCTCAGCGACACCACGGTTGACAGGCCCCAGCACCATATGCCCCCAGGACCTCACGAGCCCGATCTCTCCCCAAAATAAAGCCCCAGAGCCTCACTGCCGACGGAAAAAAAGGATCTCGCATGCTACGGCCTCAACCTGGGACGGGCTTCGCCCCAAGCAGCTCCAGTACCTGACGCTCGAGCAAGCTGACCTAGTTTGCCGATTCCTACACCTTGTCGAGAAGATAGGTGCTATGCCCACCCAGTTGCAAGCGGTTGTCTCGGTCCTGATCCCCAGGGTCAAACCCAAACTTGCTCCGCAAGCCACTGCCCAATTTCGGGGCATTGGGGCGATGCCAACCATGTACCGCATTTGGCCCAAGGTCCGCCAAATAGAAGCCAGGAAGTGCGAGGCACAGCACCGCAGACCGTTCCTTGCCCATCAGGCGGGAAAGAGCATCACCGAAGTCGTTGTTCGCCAGAGCCTCAAGGCAGAGCATGGAGTGACCTGCCAAGAGCCACTCCACTCAG